TAGCGGAAGTCGGCAGTCCTCCCCCCCCTCCCCTCCGGCGTGCAGTTAAAATGTCTTAAATTCCTGCACTCTTGCCAGTTCGCTAAGTAACTTACGAGCATCGAGCGCAAAGAAAAGGGAAGCGGTTATCTCAGATAGGATGAGTCCCTTTTGACGTTGCCTAATATGGAGAAAGTTCCGAGACAGGATGACAAGGAAGGCGGAGAACGTTTGTTTCCACGTCACGCGATTTCGTTACGTATTAAGTTTGCTCGTTCCAGGTGAAGAGCACTGTAGATATTTGTGCATCCTGCTTATCGGTATGGAGCACTTCTCTATTTTCCTGGTACGACTCTCTGGTCTTAGAGCGAATATATATATATATATATATATATACTCTTGAAAATTTCATGTCATGCATTACCACTGTATCGTGCAGGGATGTACTGATAATCTTCTACTTGATAAACATGAATTATCAGATATCAAAGAAATTCCATCTGCTGGGGTGTTGAGATGCGGTTCGATTTCTCTTGGGGGTCAGGTTGGGTTAGGACGTGGTTACAAGTGCACGTGTACTTAAGATTAATGCTAAAAGAAGAAATGTACACGAGCTTGTAGCATTTTTTTTAAATCTTTATATTTTTTTCCTGTTACAACTGATTCGACTCTCGATTGCACTTACTTACGTGGCCAATCCAAGGAACTATTAAATTCGCATCGAAATGTAAGTTACGTCTGTTTTTGGCTTTCCAGGGAAATTCCCGTGCGACGGGATGCGCATTAAAAATGCATGAAAAAAGATTTTCTCTCAACGTGGGTCGTTTTACAGGTCGGCTTTGCTCTCCTCGAGGGATGCGACTTGAAAGGGGAAAAAAAAAAATGTCAGAAAACTCCAATGATACTTCGGCATGGCGAGGAGAGATTGTACGAGGTTACAATGTTGATTGGTCCATCGTCTTGGAAAAACTATGTGACAAACTTCATTTCCGGACCTCGAGTGGATAATCGGCATATTATTTGCCGCGCTTATATAGACTCCACCGTCCGCAATTGGACCAGTGTCGAAGAAAAAGCATTTCCTCGTAAATAAAAATCTACGTGAATCACTGGTTTCTGGAGCAACCCTAAATAGACGGACACTCATGAGGGTAGTTATTTTTGAAAATAAAAAAACAAATTTACCAATCTTTACGAAATAAAACTTTCAAAGACAATTACGACCTTCCCATCATCGTCATCCGGGTCCATCGTTAAAGGTGTCTTTACACAATGCCCCTTACGATTTACCTAGCTGGGATTGTCGGGTGGAAACTTTCTCCAGAGGGGTGACTTTTTCACCCTCCTTTTTCCTGTCAACCAACCAAGTCGAGTCGAAGAACCGAAATCGCAGCGGCGCCTCGTGATTTATGGGGAGAGGGTATGAAGGAGGAGAGGGGAGGACGAGGATGGGATGAAAAGCGAAGCGTTACCTTCGTAATTGCGTCAGACTGTTAGTAAGAGTCGACAAGTAACAGGGCTGCAAAACGAAGATGTCGTCCAAGAGAGACAGAGAGACCGGGAGGAGTAGAGGGAGGGGGGGGGGAAGAATTTTAAAGAGATGGAGGCCTAGAGAAGGGATGGTTGCTGGAGACGAAGGAATGTTATTACCCTCACAACTAGCTTGATGCAATTACTCAGCATCGTCGTCTCACCATGTAAAACCGTATTACCATCCTGACAAATTTTCTTATACATAAATTAGCAGTGCTACGAAACTTTTTATTTCTCATTTTCAATCCACTACGCGTAACCTAAAATCACCTCGAAGCACAGTCCGACAGGTGACATTGTACGCCGAATTGATATTAAAGAAGAAGACAAAAAAAGCACTATAATATGTATAATAAAATATAGTCACTATTCGTCAAGTTCAATCACCCTTAATTTATTAAGCAAATGTATTAAAAAGTTGACAGTTAAAGTTTTCTCGACATCAAGATAACGCAGGAACTGTGTTAAACTGTATAATTTCGAAGTACGATATAGGAAATTCACTAATGTACAGGAAATACAAGATATCAGTAACTTCCGGTGGGCAAAGTTCCGGTATACAGCCAAGCCCGTACCTGGTCCGACTAGCGGTGCCCATACCCACTGGTATAATTTTGAACGTGTTTCATATCGCCAGACGTTGATCCGTACAGCTAAGCGATGCTGTGGCAAATTCGAATATAAACCGAGAGACACGTCACGAGTATATCCATTAACGAAGTAATGTCGCTTCTTGTGTCCATTATGAAGATTAAAAAGGCGAAAAGTCACTATGCATGTCTGAGACTTGAAATAAAAAAAAGCCCTAGTCAAAAATTATCCCCGGGAAAATGTATAAAAATTTCCATCGAGTTCCACCATCAAGTTTGTCCCACTTCATTTTCACAAGAGTGCGACACTCGCGAGGACCATCCGGGTTATTTTGTTCCACCAGGTAACCCAAGTAAACACGAGAGTAAAGCGGACGGCTGCTTTGCGCCTTTAAGCTTCGCACACCTCGAGCCCACTGGGTGATACCAAGAAAAGGTGTTGTCCTGCCTCGTCTAAAAGTGGCAGAGAATACGAGACACGGTGAAGCAGCATTCCACCGGGAGGACCTCAGGAAGAGCTGCGAGAAGATTAATGGAAAAATAAAACGACTCTCGCTAAATGTAGATCAGTACCGGTATCGATCGTAACCCGTGACGTTATTTGTTACACGTTACGCCAGGAGCATCCATTTGGATTCGAAGCCGAAAGAGAGATGGCGGGTTACGTAGGGAATAACGTAACCCAAATCAGGATGCGACGTCTGAAATCCAGGAACGCATACATTTTGAATCCCGGGTGAATTCGACTGCCAAACTCGCGTGGCAGGCGAGAGAGAACCTTCTCTCGACGCTGGAAAAACAGGTAGAGAATTACGTAGTTATTTGAGGCTCCTTGTTATTTCGTTCCATGACCCTCCACTTTGTGTTTCTGAGTTTGTCCCGTGATACGGGATAAAAATAAGTAAACCCGCCTATAAACATCGACGAGTAACGTCGTTCCCAGTGGATAACTGAGGATTATGACGTCACAGCCAGATACAGACTAGTTCCTGAAACGTCCGTTACAAAATCGCCAAATGGCGCGTCGCGTCACGCAAGGAAGAGCAAAGTTTTGGATAAATAATAACCAAGCTCAAGCTGCCGGTTGGTTTGATCTCTGAGGTATTGAAGGTGATGAGTAAGATTATCCTCGAAGGAAACTTGTAACGGTAGAAGATTCAGTGTAAAATATAACTAAGATTGTAATTAGCAACCTGGTCCGGAAAAATCCTGAGAAAGAAAAGATAGAGTTTCCACCAAGAGGTATCCCGAAGGCTGCATGTGTATTGGCAGGATGAATGGCGCACTTGTAAAAGAAAAAGAAGCAAGTACCAGTCCTAGCGCGATACCCGAGGGTCATAATGAAAAGTGTTAAGTTCCTTCACAGCAGCTTTAAGAAGCGTAATAAACTTTCGACGAAAGCCCATGTCTCGCACGACGAGGAAAGCTTTCTGTTTCGTCAAGTTTTCCACGGCTTAATACAATTTAATGCTCCGTTAAGTGTCTTAGCGTACTGAAAGCCGCGCAGCGTCTTTCGCGTCCTAGTGGCTCCTCGACGAGCATTGACATTTTCCAGTAGGCCTAATTCGCGAGTAACGAAGAAACTAGAAGAGGCGTCCTTGGGTAAACACGTGTACTAGACCTGAACCCAACGCCCTCTACAATAACAAGCTTGTGAGAAATGAATTAAAATAATTTTACAGCACTCGAGTACCTGTCATCCGGTACGAGGATGAACAATTTCCTGAATCCCGCATCGATTGGAAATTGTTAAATCCAGTCAGGATGGACAATTTGAAATTGGTAAAATTGTCTACTCCGATGGTAACGTCTCTCCCGGTTGCTGGTCTTAACCCAGCTCCGCATGAAAGCACTCGCCTCATTCGGCCGAGATGCTCTTGGAATAGTTAAGCAGGCTGTTAGCGCAATACCGACGGGGTGGTGGAAGGGGGAAGGGGTTGCTTTCATAAGGGTTGAAAAACCTGAGTCAGGTGTGGCGGACCAAGCCAATGGTGTAAGAGGAGACAAAGCGGCGTTGCGTTATCTACGCGTCACCTCGGCAGGTCACCCTTTTGCCGGCGGTACTTTAGAGTTTGCACCTTGGTAACGGATACTGATGTTGTTTCAGTGGTTGCTCGTTCATTCTCCATTATGGTGGATGCACCAACTGAAGTGTCCCTTTGACCCACTAAATAGCAATGGGGGTGCCGTCGACACGTTTGCTGTACAAGTACATGCAGTGGATGACAAAATTGACACGAAAGATCAAGTCTGCTTTGACCTAAATTGCTGGTAAAGTCTTTTTCACCCCAGGCAAAGTAGCCGTCGCTCGCGGTTGTTGTAGTTAATGCTTGCATATTAAAGACTAATATCGTAGAGACGCTACGAGTGGTTGCTGGGACGATATAGGCATTTTTATTCTATTCGCATTCTAATACTCGGGATCGATCAGTTTCTATTGCTTGTACGGTATTGTATATAACGAGGCGTGGTTCGTTTAATTGATTTGTGTACACTCGTTTTATCGATATATCGTTCAGATTAATAGAGCTTGATGATACTCGGAACTGCTCGTAAACGTTTATATGTAAAATAACCTCGTGCTGGAGGGTTTAGTTGATTGGAGGCATCGTCACGAAAGGAGGGGAAAAAAATAAAAAGGAAAATATCACGTTATCACACAGTTACGAAGAGCCCACTTTTATCGCGTTGTTCGATTAAGATTTGACGATATGGCGAGTCGAGGTATACTAATAAAATCAAAGCTGTATACATAGTGGGAATGTAACGGGTAGAAAGAAAATTTTCTTAGTTTTGATAACATCAGAATTTGACTTCGTGCCGAGATAGATGTTGTCTTGGAAAATAAATTCATTCTAACACTAAACCTACTGACAATTTTTACAAGCGTATTTTTGGCTTCAAAACGGTCAAATGACCGCTCGATGGTATGTTTAGTGCTAATTATGAAAAAATAAATGAGTATTGATATAACGAGACTCGTTGATAGGACAGCATTATAAAGTATAAAACAAATATCACACGATGCGTGTTTATTAACGAATCACAGTGCATTTCAACAAAGTTGAGTGAGGGAATAGGTACTTTTAATTAAGACATCTCCCGCGGCAGCTAAAGCACCGACGGCACGTCGGATGTTACCCATAGCAGTCCAGTTTTGTATCCCGTGTCAACTCGGCTAGCCACAACAGTGTCGAAAACACAAAAGGTTTGAAGGTAAGTCAAACGTCCCTATACGTATATCCAGCGCGCAGAGTGTTACTTTACCTTCGAGCATAAACACACAACATAAACCGTCTAAATATTTACCCAACGCAACGAGTTTCGTATGTAATTCTCAATGGGCTAATAACGTTAACGTCGATTCTATAGATATTTTTCTTTAATGTCAGATTAATGTCTATCTCTCGCATCGTATTCACGGCAAATGCCAATAAGGAAGAAAATTGTACTCACCGCTCGTCAGCGAATATAACCTTAAATCCCAGGGCGTACGAAAGATCTGCCCCGTCGGTTCGTAGCTTTTCAACAAGAAGACGCGAGCCGATGATAAAGCCGTGACGATGACTACGGATGTTGATGATGACGATGATGACGATGAGGACGATGAGGACACACGCGAAACACGAGAGACGCTAGACGACGAGACGTCTACGGAACCGAGGTGTTTGAACGACTGGAACGGAGGAACGAACACTATGCTTGCCAGTCGTGGCCGAATTGTCATCCGGAGGGTTTTACATCACCGCCACCGCCCTCGCACAATGTTCTCGGGCAACGGGCGCGGCAACGCGCCGCCGCGACTGTACCTACCCTGGCGCAAGCTCCGAGATGCTACGAGACGGCCCGGTCCATTTCGTGTCTCGGTTACCTTCGGCAAGAGGGCGTCGCGAGCGTCGCTCTTTTTACCAATTGCTATAGACCCTTCACCATCCTTGCTTGATACGCTGACCCCTGCTACCCTTTGTACTCATTCGCGAAGTACCCTGAGATAGGTAGCAATTTTTTTTTTATAGCCTTGCGATCAACTACGAGTAACCTAATTACCTTCGTGCCTTTAACCCTGTTTTCAAGTGGCGATGACTTTTTTTTTCATGTCAATAGAAATGTTTTGCGAAAACTGATGAATGATTACGCGTTGCCTTTCTTGCAGGAAATTTCGAATAGCTTTGTTGACGAGACTTTTTTGTTGTTGGATACTTAAAAGGTTTTTTTTTTTGTTATAGACACTGGAACTGTCGCGTGAATAGGACGAGTGTTTACATGAATTCCTCAGAGGATACTTCAGTCAAGGTTAGAAGGGTGGCAATGAAATGAGGAAATATTGTATATACTGGATTATTAAGATTGTAAATTTCATTTTATGTGGAATATACTCTGGGTACCTTTAAGTATGCATCATGGCGACCGTATACCTTCGTCTCTGTGAAAACTGGACTTATAGACAATGCAGATTCAATTAAACTCTCGGAGCTCGAAAACTTTTCCAATCAGAGGGTGGGCGGCCAACTTTTTTTTTCTTCTTTTTCTTTGACCAGACTGTATAAGAGTCTTACTGCTGGTTTCTTTCCAATGAATTTCCGGCCGCTTCTTTCTTGCTGGTTTCCATACACTCGACAGTTATTCGTCCTCAAGTTTTGAGGAATTTCCGAGGAAAATAGTTGTTGGACCGTTAAGGGGAAGTGGTTTTGCGGTGTTTGCATGGCACTTCATTCAAAACTTCAAACTCTCTGAATGACTTTGATTTAAACTGTGCTAATTATTAAGTATTTATACCTACTTATATAATCTATATACACAAATATATATATATATATATATATATATA